CACATACACACACACACACACGAAAATTTTCCTACGTTCGCATTCCTCTCGGAAGGTATAGTAAAAACCTCCAAGAGTATAGGATAAGGAAATATTTAGGATAAAGTGAATATAGAAAGAATAATAGGAGAAAAGAATAAGGAAAGATTATAAAGGAAATTGGTCAAAGGATCCTTCTTGGCTATGTAAAAGCTGAAGTAATAAAGTTTTTTTTTTATTTTGTTTTATATATTACACTTTCAGAATTTAGTTTCGATGCCAAAAAAGGTACGAGAAGTTTGCAGAAAAGTTTATGATCAAATGCCGTTAAGTTTTCTAACAAGTATGATAAAGTAGAGCGAAAAATTTGTTCATATTTTTCGAGATGGCACGTTATTTTTATCGCACTTTTCACAAATCGGAATATTCGGAGTGTGTGTGTGTGTGTGTGTGTGTGTGTATACTTCAAATATTCCGATGTTGTGAAAAGTGCGATAAAAGTATGATGCCATCTCGAAAAATATGAACAAATTTTTCGCTCTACTTTATTATACTTGTCGGAAAACTTAGCGGCATTTAATCATAAACTTTTCTGCAAATTTCTCATATCTTTTTTAGTATCGAAACTAAATTCTGAAAGTATAATAAAACAAAATAAAAAAAAAAAAACTTTATTACTTCAGCTTTTATATAGCCAAGAAGGGTCCTTTGACCAATTTCCTTTATAATCTTTCCTTATTCTTTTCTCCTATTATTCTTTCTATATTCACTTTATCCTAAATATTTCCTTATCCTATACTCTCGGAGGTTTTTGCTATATCTTTCGAGAGGAGTGCGAACGTAGGAAAATTTTCGGTTCTATCGGGTATCAAGAACCCGGGATCTTTAGTTTCATAGACTAATGCACAATCTGCTGTGCTACATTCGCACTTGAAAGTAGTAGTGATCTTTGAAATTTTTCTGATTAGAGCATCCATAGTTTCGGTATATACAACCTGCAAAATGTTTGTATTAAACAAATATTGCATTGACATTTCAAAATTTAAATTTAAACATATTTTTTTCGTTTTCGTTACATATTGAGCAATGCTCCAATTTATTTTTGTGTATAAAAGCATGTATGTTTGTGCATGTATTTTTGTTGTATAAAAGCGTTTGTAATTCTCTGCATGCAACAAGACTTTGCAGAAAAAAGTCAATGTTATGTCGATAAAGGTTTCATATCCGGCATCTCCTTAAAAGATGGCTAAAAAACAAAAGAAAATCAAGCATTGAGGATATTATGCATAATTTTATTATTAAAATTAATAAAACTAATAGAATAATATAATCATGCAGTGACTATACATAGTGTAGTGAATGAAAGTATGTTATTTGATTAATCCTTTAAGGCGCACAATTCATGGAACATTCTAGTAATTTTTTTTTAAATGAAATGTTGTCAAAAACACTCTAAATAACACATTTATAAGGTTTCAACTGCCCAATCCTAAGTGGTCCCTATTGGTACCAGTGATACTTAAAGGATTAAACAAGCTCAATAGAAATATGCTTGGAAACATGCAAAAAAAACTTATGTATGCGTGTTTGTGTGTGTATGATTTCGCTGTTTTTTTCAGATTGCATACGTTTTGTAGCTTACTTTTTTTTGTCAAAATATCAAAAGTGTTATGTATTATAATAAATCATGTTACAACGTATACTGCAGGTTTTCTTACGCATTCCTCCGTCTGGATAAACCGTTGCAGTTGCCTTCGCATGTAGACGCAGCCCAAAAATCTCTCCAGCGGACACATGTCTGGGCCTGGTAGGCCAGAGGGATGAGGTGAAGCAGTACAAAGTACATCCAGCGCCTCGTGCGTGATAAGCGTCGGTACAGCGCCCGCCCAAGACCGTGGCGGTAATACTCTGGATATGTGACTACCGGTCTTGTGATCCGCAGCTTGCGGGCTGTGTAACGCCGCATGGCTCGGGCTCTGTCCGGGTCTCGCGGGAGAAGGCCTCGGTACGCTCGGTGATCCAGGCCAATTGGAAGCAGCTGGCGAAGCCATGCTTTGAGAGGACGGAAAAGGACTGCCGTCGATATGACCTGATAATCGGTATTTTGATATTTTGATAATTGAATTTTCACGATAACATGAAAATTATGGTGTTGTCCTCACCTGTTTGCATGAAAGAGCTAGCAGGCGAATGCCCTACTTGAACGTTACTGCAAGGCCCTGGTGATGACGTTGGCATGAGACCAGCGGGACTAGGGACGTGCATCGGATTCAAAGGACTATTGGCGACGAGACCTGATCCAGGAGATGGATGCGGTAGCATGTTAGGAGTATTCGGCGGTAGTGACGGTGGTGATGCTAAGTTGAACGAAGTTGCGGGACTACTTCCGAAACTTTGATGCTGACTGGCCTAAAATAATAAGAGAAGTTAGTAACGAATAATCGACGTATCATTACGTTTGATCTTAGCTGAACATTTCACCTGGGATATATTTGCGGTATGAGGACTGGCCGGTGTGTGAGGATTACTACCGGAAGGCGGTGTGAGTGGCGGATGAAACCTCAAGCCTTCGCGTTGTTGCGCGGGTGACTGCGGTCCGCCTCTGTGGTGACCGAGAAAGCCCACGTTACCTCCTGCACCATCACTGTCCATAGTGACGGGCGACGGTGGATTGTCATCTTCCGATTGAGATCTCCGCCTGAACACTGCACTTTCATCGACATACTTGGACAAAAAGCCCTATAATGCAAATATCGAAATATGATTAACGAGTTTGTATTCATATTCAGAATATTCTAAAATATAAAAAAATATATATACTCTGTACAAATATTACATATAACATTATTTTTTGATACTATATAGTACTATATATGTGTATTAATATATATTATTACCTTTAGACCTTGCGTGGGTGTAAACTCCTCGACAACGTTACTGCGATCAAAACGGCTGTAAGCTCCATCGCGTAAGCTTACTAAACCTCCGCCTCGCAAACGTAACTCCAAACAATACATTCCTTGGTACGCTATTCTTACTAAAGTCACACTCTGTGGCATTATAGTGAAAGTTTGTACTGGCACTTGTGGTCTCTGGAAAAAAATACGTTACGAAGATGATGGCGTAATCTGATTTTAAGAAGGGCGTACGTATACAAGTATGTATAAATGTACATGTCCTTACAGTGTTATGCACGCATAATTGAGGAATTGTTGACAATTTACTAATCGACGTAAGTGGTTGGAGCGTCTCATGAAATATATGAATAAGTTGTGCCAAATTCATGTGCCTGTTTAAATGGGCCTCTAATTGCTCCTTCATTAAAGAATGCGCGTTAGATATTGTATTTGTTGGACCTATAAGTTACATGGGTTATAAGCGAGCTCTCCATCATTACGCGCCTCTATTGACCGAAAACTCTGGATTAATTTTTTTTAATCCAGAGTTAACGTGAAAACTCACTCTTTCCAAATATAAGCTTAAAGGCTTTTTCGGCTATACTCCATTGCACAGTCACAGCCGCACCATGATTTGGGCCGTACGCGAGAACCAATTTGCTATAATTATATGATTTAATACTAACCATGTTACGTAAATTGTACTTCTCTGGAATAAAAAACAAAATCATTGAATGAGACAACGAAATTAAGATACGTGGCGTCACATATTTTCCGCATGATCCTTAACTTACCCATCTTAAAATATTCAGCTAAATCATGAACAATTGTATACAAATGCACGATTTGTGCCCAATCATTTAATAAGGCATCGACAGTACGAGAGACGGTATCGGCTGCTCCCATTTCGTATTGAAAATAGATTGGTCTTCGCAAGCCTGTAAAGTCCGCGCACCCAATGATTAGCGTATCGTAACGAGAGAAAGATATGTGATACAATATTTTACATAGAATCAGTACCGCTACCTTGTTCCTTGGGATGACTACTGGAAAGGGGACTACCGTAAAATACGAATTCTGCAGTCCAAGTTTTCGCCATGCCTTTGCCTTGAACTCGGATCGAAACACTGAGAAGCCTTTTCAGAAGAGCATACCAAGCGCTGCTCGTAGCGATACTCGGCGATGGGGCAGGTAATTGAACAAGTCTGAGTACTAATGCCGTGGCATTCGCCTCAATCTGCAGACCTTGATGAGCTATCTCCCGCTTACTTAGCTGCACATGATTAATGTCGGATGAAAGCGGATCATACAAGAGGACTTGATTACCGTACCACTTGAGAAATCTACGAGAGATCGAGATCTCACCTCTTGAGCCAATGTTACGAACGGTATTCGCTCGTCACATAGAGCGACAACATGCGCCAATTCCGGAATGAAATAAGCCGGATGCTTTGGTCTCCTGCCCTGCGAGGTCCCCGCCGCGTCTGTCCTGCCCCCGACCCCAGTGCTTCTACGTTTGTTGCTCGTCGTCTCCACCACTTCTGTAATGCACCCCCCATCTTGATCATTATTCCCTAAAAAATCCACCCATTAATCCCCCTAAAAGGTAGCAAAACAGTATGCCAATACCACACCGAATGTTGCCAGATGTTAATTATTAATCTCTCTCTGTTTACACACTCGATACTATAACATACTTGTAACCAGCAATCAGATTTTAGTAGGTATTAATATAAAAATTAGTATTAACATTTCTGTGGCACAAGCTAGATTATATGTATGTATGATAACAACATAACAATAACACTGTACACAATCTCTACCAACATTAAGACGACACCATGGTTAGTATGAGAGCGGCTGATTGGCATTTGTTTATACAATGTAGACAAATATTATCATTAACAAAAATTAAAAAATTGTTGAAAATTGTTAGTAAAGAAACGTCGCAAGTCCAAGAAATTATTTGTAAATTGCATCACAACCAAAACATGTTACAGCATATACTTGGTATATTTACCTACCTGCATGCATATTCATGCTAATATAATAATATATAATAAGGAATGAATTAAACTTTATAAATACATGCATATACATAAAAATTAATAATTTGACTTGATATTGTATATATAATGTAATATTGCCAGCTATTGATATAGTTGTTGATTCAAATATACATAAGTTTTTTAAGTAAAAAAAGTTTATACAATGAGATAGAAAAAAGAAAAACGAAAAATAAATTATATAAAAAGACTATATTATTAGACATTATATATTGTACAGTTTTCACTTGTACGTATATAATTTTACATATAAATGCGCATGTACATATATCTTTTATACTTATCTATGTGATAAAATATTATATATAGAAAACGTGTGTGCATGTACTTACCGCTATCGACACTTGTAAATGGACCATGAGTAATGACGAAAGTATCGAACTCAATGAGGCTTTGGACCTTTAAATACATTTTTGGTATTTCAGTTTCTATATTATCATCATGTAGATCATCTTCGACAGTACTATGTTTCACCACAGCGAGATAGAAGGTGCACTCTATCTCACACGGCGAACTTTCTTTCTCTTTGAATGCGACGATCTAGAATGAAGCATACTTATAATGTACGTTACATTATGGACTATGGCCCAGTTCCATAACCTCCAGTAAACTGGCTGGTTATTCCATTGGACTTGATCAATTGCATTTGATATTAAGCAGAGTTAATCAGAATTAACCAATCACTATTGGGACTTAACCGATAGTTAAAATTAAACGGATATTGTGGAACTTGGCCTATATCCTGTAAACGATTTACAATTACGCGTATATACACACATACCAGTATAACTGTAGGATGCCTGTGCAATTGCACGAACATCCGATGTCTACTAATTTTGGACATAGGGTGATCTGGATGATACAAAATGGGCAAACGTTCGTGGGCAGTAGCCGGTAAATGCTGCAATGTCTTCTCGCAACGTCTCTGTGTTATCCAAAATCTGTCGCAAAAGGATTCATCAATTGAGAATTCGCTTTGAGAATATGAGAGTATAAATCCACAAAGGTTATTGCGGTTAGATTCATACCTTAATTCAGATATAAGTGTCGGTAGACGCGAATGATCTCCATTGAGAGCCGTTGTTAGCTCTGGTACAAGAGGTGCGTCGTACTGAGGAACATGACACTGAAGCATACCGGTATGAGTATCGACTGTAACTAACAGAAGCTCGGCACGCAAGCACGGTTGTAATATAGGTACTGACAAAATCGCTGGAGATCCCGCCAAGGTACCTGAACAATCATTCAAACGATATCATGCTTGTTTTACCTCAAATGTGTGAGGAAAAGTAAAAAGATATTCTTTGCCTACATTCAACGTCTTTCAGCATCGTCTGCAACTCTTGTTTTAATTCGGTCAAACGACTACGTGTTCGAATGTAAATTGTATGAACGAGTAAACACTCCATCGACAATTGGTCCGACCTGATGGCTCTGTGTGCTATTTCACTTTCCTGCAACATAATTCCGTTCTTAATGTACAATGTTAATGTTATTATATTCGAAAGAGACTAAATGTATGTTACTTTACCTTACTGCCCAACGACGGAATATGTACAACTGCAAGAGGCCTTGCGGGATCATGTTGGTCTACTTGTACAGTTAATTTGTATCCGAGTTCTGACCGTGGATCCTTACTAGTTAACTCTCTGGAAGAATCCCGGACATGAATATAAAGATTTTAAAAGTGTCATACGACTTTTGTTAGATTAATTTTTTTAAACACGATACATATGTTATCATTGACATTACCTCCAATAAGATATGGAGAGGCATTTACCAGCTGTATAATCATCTACATGTATATGATCGTCCAATCTATCCCGAATTAACCTTAACGTTTGAGAATACAAAACTTCCAATTGCAGTGACTGACAGAAGAAATGTAATATATGATATACTTCTGATAACGGGTTAGTGCTCTCAGCTAATCGCGATTGAACAACCTGTCACACAGAAGGAAATTTCGTTTGTTAAATACAACTTGTATCTTGTTAACATTGTCATACCATGTATTAATAGTACCTGATGTACGTATCGAGTTTGCAATGGATGTACCAATGCCTTTCCATCACCGGTTTCTCTGTCTGAAACCAGAATTTCTAATTCTAGCAGCCTCCATGGGACTGCAGGCCCATCGCCCATAACAGTAAGAGACACCGAAAACTCTTGCTCAACGAGAAAAGTTACTCTTCCTGCTTCGATCTACATATTAAAAATAAGTGTGAAAGAAATACCAAGTAATTGCATAGTATAATTTAATAGACTTGAGTTGATTTTATTTACCTTTAAATTACGCATCTGCGGTAACAAATTTCCAGTGACCAGTCTATGTTGAATAACCTGATTCAATCTTTGCAATGTGGTTCTCTTTTCTGCAAGAGTGATTGGATCTGGCGGCACTATCCTTTCCTGCTCACATATATAAATATATTTTCTCAAATGTTATGTATACATGTATTTTTTTTCGTAAATATACTTACCCGAATGCAGGCTGGTAATCTACCATATGTCCCAGTAGTAAGTACTTCCACAGCTGCAGGAATATGAAAATTTGGTAACCTGGCATGCACTAAAGTTTCACGAGCCATCCTTGCCAACATATCCGCAGTATCGACAAAAAGTAATGACTGCTTATCCAGAAACGCCATAATATGCTAAAATAAAGAAAAATAAATGGTCAAATTGCAGAATTTAGCTATGTATATGATTATGAGTTATACAGAAATTTGTCTTACCGCAGATTTATCTACTTTAGATGCACTGTTTGCCCATTTTACCAATGCCAATAAACGGACATATAACTGCCTCGTTCGAGCAGAAAAATTATAAATCTCAATTTTGCGTTCCATATCAGTTTTACGTGGTAATCTAAATAAGTCAAGGCAGAAGTAAAAAACAGATGACATTGTAAGATATTGACATAGTTGAGATAGTGATATAGTTGAGCATTTTTACAGCTATATTTTGTACTTACAATTCAGCAAGGACAGTGAGCTCATGATATGTTCGTTGTACAATAAAATCTATGAGCATGCCTAAGGAGATGGACCCTCCACGATTACCTTCCTGTGGTATATTGTTTGTAACAGGAGTTTGATGACCCTCTAAAGGTACAGGTGCCATTTTGATATCTTGTTTTAATATGTTAATATTTAATCCTAATGTTTCTATACCTGTAATCACACATGTCATATCATATAGACTATTCTATAACGAAATTGCCAAACTTCGCCAATATATTCAGAAAGTTATTTCAACCAATAAAATTATATAAACTATTGGTCAATCTCGAAGAGGAAGCCAAATTGATATACAATTTATATAACCTAGGTTAGGTTAGAATAACTTCTCAAGTATGTGCTGACAAAATTGACATTTTACTATGCAATATCCCGTATATAATTTAACACTTATCTCATAAAAAATAATATAATTATAAAGATTATTACAAGAAAAAATAACAAGGGTAATAATTCTTAATAATGATGCATATGTAAATATACATATGTAAAGGACGCTACAGAGGAAGTATGTAAATTTATATAAATAATTTTACTTACTTTGATTTGTAAGTATATATTGTCCAATTAAAGGTCCACAGTTAAGTTTACATTTTACTTTTGCTCAACAACTTCATCAGAACCAGAAGGTGAATAGCTGATATCAAAAAACATTCTTTTGACGCCGTCAAATCCCGCAATATCTGCACAACATCTAGCATAGAGAAAATTGGATAGAGTGAAAATCCAGGCACGCAGATTGCACTGCTATCTAGTGACTCTGACGACCAATTACATATTCGCTTTATTTCGCAATCGATCGATAATCTACATGGATGAAAAAACATATTTCTCACAAGAGTTTTTTTGTAATATGTCTGTAATTGACATTGAAACGAATAAAATTCTAATTTTTCCCATAAGTTCTATTCCCCAAGCAAGTTAATTTCAGACGCAAACTAGATACTGATCTGGTATTGATGGTAAAGTCAATGTTCTACAAATATCCCTCTATGTATGTTACTCCCTCTAGAGTGATAATGATAAAACTTCACTTAAGATCGAAAGTCGATGACTATACTTCGTCGATAACTTGATAATTATATATCGATTATCGTCGATTAGAGTCTGCTTACATAAATCGGAAAAGAAACTAAACATTTAGTTATAATTGAATAAATTAAATTAAATTATTAGTCAAAACTAAATTAAACATTTGGTACTAAGCTCACAATTGGAATTTTTATTCAATTTAGATCTAAAGAATGTTTTCTCGTATATATATTTTTATAGATTTTAAATAAAGATATATATATTTTTTAGATGCTGTGCGCTATATACACGTTTTGCATATATCATAAGAATTTTGGTAAACTAATTATAAAGTAGCAATTAAGATTATGATGTGAGAATACTTGGCAAAGGATGATAGAAGAGTCGCAACGTTTGAAAACATTTGCTTTATTGTATATTCCTTTCGTCCGCATAGTAGGTACATATCAGCGTCTAAAATGCTCTTTCTTGTAATTCAGTGAATTTCATTCTTGCGCTAACTTTTATACTCGTATCTCCTACTTCTTTTTCACCGTAATCTTATACGCTCTTACACTCGCTCTTCCTCTTTCACTCATAGATAAATAAATTATAGGCTATATAATATGTACAAGATCTTAATAGTTCTCTCTTTCCTTACCTTAATAGTCATTTGTCGCTTAATAGACGTATCTTGTAAAGACTCTAGAAATATTGAGCTTGGTCTGGTCAGTATACGTAATATATTCTCATTAAGTTTTGTCGCTTCAAATTTATATATTTATCTCTCTGTTTATCTCTCTCTTTCTCTCTTTGCTTCTTTTCTAAAATTATTTATTCGTCCACGCTTCATACAACCGACTAATATCTCCGTTCATTCGTGGTGCAGCTTTTTAAGAATATGATTCAATGAATATTCGGGTAGTGAGGGGAGGGGGACACTCGAAGAGCAAATTAAGGCTCCTGATTCGCCATTGTACTTTCTTACGACGCAAAGTAACAAGAAGTTGTACGAATTTGTTCCTTGCATTATATATCGAGTCAAATTAGTTTTCTCGCATATCTCACTCGTACCCGACAGAATAAATTATTGAAACGTATCGAAGCACTTTCACATTTTGATTGTTCCTCATTGCTATAAATACAATTTAGCCTACATTTGTCTCTTCTATTTCTAATGAGACCGAATTAAAATCCAAAATAAGCTTACAATTAAAGAGAAGTTAAAATCACATTGAATTAACATCCTAGCGGCGAAGTTAATTAATTTAAGGGAGGCAAAATAGAAGAGGGACATTTTCTCGATACATCTCAGAAGCAGAAGTTTCTCCGAATGCAAGTGATGGCGCGCGAGAAATATTAATTTATCTCTGTATACACTGCAAAATTTTGTCATGTATCGCTTCTCACAATTCAACGCGACTTTAACGCCAGGAGTTTCTAGACGTGTTCGAAATTAATACAAATTAGCCATCGAGCGAAATTATCGAATGTATTCTCATCTTTTCCGAATATATTCTTTCTTGTTTTATTTACGCAATTGAGAACTAGACTGTGTGTTCATATAACAGCAGCGGGCGTGTAGCAATCGGTGTAAAAAAAATCGCAAAGAATTTGACATTAATTAAAATAATACTGGAACGAATATAAGATATATATATGTATATATACAAAATGTCCCAGAAAAACTTTCAAAGCTCTTGTGAAATCATAGAAAGAATTAAGGTGAACATAATAGTCCTATATTATTTTGCGATATTCGCAATATTCCTTAATTAATTAACATTTTATTTCATTAATACCTCGATAATTATCACAAAACGGTATGGCACTTTTTTGTTCATCTCAATCCGTCCTGTCTCCACGAGAGCTTCGAAAATTGTTCTGGGACACCCTGTATATGTATATATATATATATATATATATATATATATATATGTATGTATACCAGTAGCATGATTGTATTCTCGAAGAAATTTAGTCTTGATTTTACATTTGAGAGAAGATATCTTGTACACACACGTTGCCAACAAAACGGTCGAGGTACTTCCGGTAAGTCGACAGCATAGAATGCAATGGTGTTTGGATATTATCGTTGACATTGTAGCTCAGGTTTCAATTTCCGTCCCAGAAAGTTTTCAATTGGTAATTAAGGAACTCCCTCTAGATTGCAACCTTGCTGTTGGTACGCGTCTATTCTGAGGTATCTTGTACGTTCAATTAGGATGTTTATATATAAATTCTGCATACTTCAAGTATAATATTTCCTCAGGCACCTGTGAATTATTTACAATTCAACAAATGTGTATTTGCAAGAAACGAAGTTGCGATTCGAGCTGGTCACCATCACGGTATCAGAATACCTATGAATAATACAAAACAAACGAGTGAACGTGTGAATAAAGATAAACAGGGGCGGAGGAGAGTGATCGAAAATGTACAAAATATACAAAAGTACACATCTCTCCGTAATGTCTCTGCGGCAACGTTGCTACGGGATACGAAAACGAGTTACAGAAAAAGGAGCAACAGAAGAAGAGAAACGTATATTTAAACGAAATGACACTCGACGGAAAACAACAATGCGCGACGGTAGTAGTATCAGTAAGTAGTAGTAGTAGTAGTAATAGTATTAGTAATAACAGTAGTAGTAGTAATAATAATAGAAGTCGAAGTAGCAGTAATAGTAGTAGTATAGTGAAAGATTCTCTCTGTAACGCGTTATACTGTAAAAACTCGCGAAATTCCGTTTTTAACGTTGAGATACCGAAAAGGAGTATCCGATATCAACGGCCGCGCGTCCGCTCGCTACCTGGCATACCCTGCGACCAGACTACATCATAGTCTCGCTACGGCTAGTCATACTATCGAAGTCTAACTGCGAATACGATGACGGGCGATGATCGTGTTCGCAAAAAGCTGCACTACCGTGCCCAGCCAGCGGGTTGCACCAACCGTCGGAGCGTATCGTGTTCGTGAGGTAACACAGTATTTCTAGAATCTCGTTAATGCGCTAGGAACCCGGGCTACCGGCGTTGTCGCTGCTCCTTCTCCTCGCCTCGAGCTGCTTCGCCAACAGGGCGACTTCCCAATTGTTGTAGCCGTCTTGCCGCACGATCTTGTCGTCGTCCACGTCGTCATCGTCGTCTTCGTTCTCCTCCTCCTCTTCCTCCTCCTCCTCCTCCTCCTCCTCCTCGTCTTCCTCGTCGCCCTCGTCGCTGTCGCCCTTGCGACGTCGGCGAACGTCGAACTCCTCGTCCGACCTGCTGTCGCTGTTCGACTCCAGGTCGATCGCCACGTCCTCCCGCGACGACAGTCGCTGCGGCACTATCGAGTTCGGCAGCTCCTGAAGCTCCAAGGTCTCTCTCTCCGAGTGCTCCTCCCAGGACCTTCTGCTACGCGAGCTCGAGCCCAGCGACGAGGACGAACGGCGGTCGTGCGATCGTGTGGTCAGGACGGTGTCCACCGAGCTGTCCCGCATGAACGGATGGTCCTCGCGATCGTCGTCCAGGTCCTCCTCCAGCGAGGCGTCGTGCTCGGTGCTGTCGCCGCCGGAGTCGTCGCCGTCGCGCGACTCCCGCCGCTCCAGCTCCTGGATCCGCGACTGCAGTTGCGATATTATCTCGTCGCGCTTGCGAACCTCCAGCTCCAGAGACGTGAACTGTCGCTCGAACTTAATCTGCATATTCTCCTGCAATGTCAAGGCGTGATTAATCGGGTACAGTCGCGTACGCCTGTGCGTCGTTTGGTAATGAGAATCCTACGGCGGGGTTATGGTCGGGATAATTGATAGCCTTGACGGGCGTACACCTGGCGTGTGATGTGTACCCGCGTCACGAGTTTCGGGGTACGTGTACGAGCGTTGACGGATTTTAATTCGCCCCGGTCCTAAATCGCGAGATGAGTAATGGTCTCCTCCCTCTCTCTTCCGCTTTATCGATTAATAATGAGCTTCAAATTTGACACCTTATTACAGCCGTTGTTACATATTGACTTCGTGAGAAATTAGTGTGATTGATATTACGTCGTAGTATTCGACGTTTATCGCATATCACTCTTCACCAAAAGTACGACAGTCGCAAGTCGCAGTGTCGTATATTTATTCGCGCACAAAGAATCAGAAACGTCTGGTCATTCCTTCAATCGAGGATATATAATTGTCGACCTTATGCTTATGTGCGTGAGTATTTATTCTGATATTTTAGACTTTCGTAATGTGATAAAACACTTCATTTGGCTTTCGAGCTTGTGTCCTTCAAAGATTTGTTCCCAAAGTTTCGTAAGCGTTCTTCAGGGTTAATTTCTTCAGGAAGTTCACTTCTTCAGAGAGAGGGGCAGACTAAAGTTTCAAGTCGTTTTCCTCTTTGAAGAAGTAACTCCTGATGAATGTTCACGAAACATTGGAAAGAAATTTATGAAGGATAAGACCTCAACTCGGAAGCCAGATCAAATATTTTATCACGAAAATTTAAAATATCAAAATGGATACTTACACATACAAGTACGAGATTGGAAATCATATATTCTCGATTTAGAAGTTCACTTTTTCAGAGAAAAAAGAGACTGAAATCTTTCTTCTCCCTGAAGAAGTAAACTGATGATTTCGAAGACGTTTCTGAAACGTCAGAAATAAATCCACGAAGGACGTGGCAATCCTGAAATCAGTACTATAAGTTTAACAAATCATACATCCCGCGTACAATAGGATTGCTTGTAATCAGAATTTTCAACTATGTGCATATAAAAGGTCCGATAATTCACGGAGAAGCCGCAGTGTACAGACAGATTAGATCAAACTGAACAAAAAATTTCTTTACAATTTTACGAACAACCACGTAAAAATTTAGATCATTAAATTAAGAAGATTCGTGAATGATCATGCGCCATATGGTAGATGAGCTGTGATGGCAACGTTTACCGTTGCATGTTTGTATATTAGGCCAAAGTGAACAAAAATGTCTTGTACCATTTTTCAAATAATTATGTAGATGTTTAGTTATTAATTAAAGAAAATTGATGCATTATTACATATAACTGTACTTTGACTAATAACTCAAAATTTTATGTGGTTGTTCGTATCTACCTGTACACCTTTGTGAGTTACCGAATACTCTGTATAAAGTCTAAGAAATGGCTAGACACTTATGACACTTATACACACTGCGTGCTGCTTTCCCCCCTTGATGATGCAATAATTTCTTGCACCGTCGAAATAAATATTTCGCGGACGCTGTCGGACTGTAGTCGCGCTCGTCGTGCCTCTCTCACCCTTCGACGAGGGCGAGTGGTCCAGTAGTGCATAATAAAGCACTCCTTGGACGAGAGCGCGCAGTGACAGCGTGCGCGCAAACGGTCACAAAGCTGGTCCATTGAAAACGGAGACAAAGGGATGACCGAGGGGGATGATGGGGTGGGTATCTGCGGGGCGCGTGCAGTCGCGTCGCATGGCACTCACCAGGCCCGCCTTAATGACCTCGCTGATTCCAGAGAGCAGATCGCCCAGGCACTCCTCCTCCCTCGGCCGTGACACCATTTGCAGGACGCCGACACTGCCCACAGGACGGAAACTGAGTTTATTGGGCGGCGGCAGTGGCGGCTGATCCTGGAGCTCGGACAGCGGGTAGTTGGGTTGCGGGATGACTTGCTCGGACGGCGGGCTCTGCAGCGTGTACTTGTTGAAGGTTACGCTCTTGGACAGCTTGGAGTGCCGCGCGGCGTAGCCCTCGATCGTCGGCGCTCTCATAAGCCTCTTCAGCTCGGCAGTGGCAGCCTCGCGATCCGGCGTGCTGGTAGCCGAAGTCTCGGAGCTGCCAGTTCTGCTGCTGGCCGACAGCTTCTTCAGGATGCTCTTTAGGTTCCGCCTCTCCAGCGTCTCGTTCTCCGGCGACAGCTGCTCCACCGACGACACCGTCGCGGTTGCTTGCCGATCCTGCGTGAATGCCCCGGGCAATTGAGCGGTCGTTACGCACGAACTTTGCGCGTCTTCTCCTTGGAGATCTCGCGAGTATAAATACGTGAGCTGCTAATGAGACCTTGATCTACTGTTAAGCGCTTTTAAGCTCCTCAGCTGTTCCGTTACGACCGAGCTAGGCGCTTCCGTTGCTGACGCGCGCATGATTAATGGGTAAATGTAGTGGGATTGAGGTCTGTTGCTTGACACTGTGTAATTCATTGTCTCTATATTAGTGCAAATTATTTAGGACTAGGAAGTAACGTATCACGCCATTATAAGTTATCCGTTTCAGCAATGACTTGATAATTTGTTTTTTGCACTAATAATAGTAAAGACATTTGAAGATAACACAATTATATATTTAGGATAACAAATGTAATTGTTACTTTTAGCGTTACTTTCCACATTTAAAATATGTGAAGTGAACAGAAGTAAATTTCTTCTGAAGAAAGATCTTTGAACCTCGATACGAAATTAACAGAAATTGCAACGATTTGTTATTTCTGGAGTAAATAACGAGTTACTTTTTTAGAATTTATGTTATATTTTGTGACATACATACAATAAATAAAAAGCTTTTTGACCAACAGGAATCACGCAGAAAGAAGCAAAAAGGCTCCACGCACGTTAAGACTGAGGAAATGTCTCGGCACGTGCAATACTTCGTCGACATTATCTTTTCTAACGTTATTAATAAATAAATAATTAATTAATCCCAACCGTCAAGCTGCGTGGCTCTTAGTAGACAAAAAATTTCTTATTGATTGTCAATCCTTTTTTAATGAGTGACGAGTAACACAATATCGAGTTATTTTCTCAAAGTAACTTTCCCAACTGTGATGTTACCGCTACGAGAACTTCGCAGATAATCTCGAATAATATTTGATTCCGATCTGTGACGATGCTATATCGTCGCGTAATAGAAGGATATTCACGAGTGTGCGCGTGATCCGCTTACTTGATTGAGCTTGGCCAGTTTCCTGGCATACTCGATGGCGCAGGCTTCCGAATGGCTCCTTGTGAGGTTGCCGTCGAACTCCGGCTCAGCGTTCTCGCCGCAGTCGAGGGACGAGCTCCTCACCGCCTTCTCCAGCTCGGCCAACTTCTGCCTCTCGTTGAGGATCTTGAGCTTCTTGACGAACGGCAGGCCGCAGTACTCCGGCGACAGGTCGTCCACGGAGGCGTACATCTTGGTCTGCTGCAGCTTCTTGGTCGGCGGGCTCTTCTGCGGTGAGTTGTCCTTGGTCAACGACGCATTCTTCAGCATGGCCCAAGGCTTCTTGGCGTTCACCACGGGCGCTCGCGTCTCAACCTCCGAGGTGATGGTCGCGATGGCCTGACTACCCGACGAGGACTGCTCCTCTTCCATCTGCGAGGTCTCCTCGGGGATGGTGTTCTTAGGCAGCAAGGGTTCCTTAGTGGGCACCTCCTTCTCCACTTGGGCCTCTTGCTCATTCTTCGCCTTCAGCAGGAGTATCCTCTGTAGGAACGGTAGATTCGGGTTTGTGGGGTTCAAGGCCTCCGTGGGTGGCGGCGGGTGTGGCTCTGCCGCATGGCTCAACGTGTCCATCAGGTTGCGTCGCTCCTCTCTTTCCTCCTTCTCCTTCAGCAGCCTGAGCCTGGACAGCAAGGGCAGGCCGGCGCCCAACGGCGACACCGGTGGCTCTTGGCTGTTCGGTAGGCACAGATCTTGGCCGTCGTCGATCTTCTGCTGCCTCTTCAGCGCCGGCATTTTCGGCGCCAACGGTTGAAGTTCCAGGCTCTCCTCGGGTCTGGTGTTGCGCCGGCTCTTCCTCAGCACGTTCTTCAGGCCCTTCACGTCGCTCTTCAGCTTGTCGACGATCCGCTTGCCGGTGCTGTTGTCGGAGGAGTCGTGGCCAGGAGACGTCGGCCGACGTGACGCCCGCGCCACCCTCTGCGCTTCCATCAGCCGCTTCCGGCCGAGGTTCTGCAGGATCTCCTGCGCCTCTGGGTAGTCCTTCATCGCGGCCAGCACGTCTTCCCGAGAGAGACTGAACAGCTCGGAGTAACCCACCGAGCGAACGTCAGCTGTGCGTCTGAAAGTTATTTTTCTGCTTTTTTGTTTTTTTTTCAAGATATTCGCCACTATGTGTGAGCTATCACGTAGTAGCATCTACGATCGACCATAAAACACAGGACCGACGTCGAGGAACATGCTAACGCCTGTGACTGACGTTGCATATCGTCGCTTCGCGACGCGAAAAACCTCATGTAAAAAGAGGCCGATTTGAGTGGAAAATTTCATTAATGCAAATAAGAGGACCAGGGCAAGCTCCTTTGGACTTTGAACGATCACCGACGTCTTGCCTTTAATGTGCGAGACACGTACTCTGAGCGAGACAAAGGCGGATCGATAAAACCAGTTAGCTCGTGGTGTATTATCTGCTAACATCGTTTAATCGCGTTTTGATCAATCTGTGTACGGATATGTCGACAAGTATCGCGCAAGTGTGCGTGATTTTTTTCAATTCGCGAATTATGTAGGCAGAAACGAACGTGTTTCTTTCTTTCTTTCTTTTGTTGCTAGACGACTATTTCACAATACTCAACATGCTGCTCGATACGTTCTAGCGTAAAGAGTGGATCGATTACGGGTTACGTTGTAAGAATATTTAAGGAAAGAAAAAGCAAGAGAGAGAGAGAGAGAGAGAGAGAGAGAGAGAGAGAGAGAGAGAGAGAGAGAGAGAGA